GCAGAAAAACAGGTGCAGGGACTGAGAGGCACGAGGGGAAGACACACTAGAATAAAACCGGATGTGCAGGGAAACCAGAAACGAAGACAGACGTTAAAATAAAACAAGAACATTACTGAGATACCCCAAAAAAAAAAAACCCCAAAGGAAACTAAAGCATGAGAAAACAGAACTGAGAAACACCTCCATGCACTGATGGAAGGATTCTTCTGGAATGCCCCTGAGATACGTTGTTAGGGGTCTCTTGATGGCCTCGACACCTTCAAAACGGGTCCATCTGATTACCCCCTTTCATTTGTGGAAAATAAATGATGTCGGAGTTTTCCACTGGCAGATCCCAGCCATGGTTTCTGGGTTACACTCATTCGATTTAAGACGCTCAATAATGTCTTGGCACCCTTGTGTGTGGCGCTCCTTCTGATCCTCCTTCAGGAGCCTTTGTATTTGCACAGATTGTACGCATTCCCAAATCTCCAGTGAGAATCCCTGTGCAGCCCACTTGCGGTCATTTGAACCGCTGACCGTTGATCACCTCTCACAGCGAGCCTCACCCGGTCGACGCTGACCTCAGTTCTGCTGGCTGAGGGCCACCTCCTCGCGCCCCTGTTTGAACCTCTTGTGTAGGGCTGCAACTAACAACTATTTTAATAGTCGACTAGTCACCGACTATTGAAACGATTAGTCGACTAATCGAATAGTTATTCACTTTTTCTTAAAAATAGCATAAAGTTGCTTTAGTTAAGTGGAAAATGATAAACACAAGAAAAATGGGTACTTCAATGAAAAATGCATCTTTTATTCAACTTTGCAGCTGATACAAAACGTAAATAAGAATGCGTTTGTCAGGCACAGTCAGGCATAACGTTAAAGCTCTCTTTTAAAGTGAAAAACCGCTTAGAAAATGTATAACGTACATAAAAGACAAAACATATTAGCATTATTGTTGCTTAAATCTTACCCAGGCGAGTCAGACTCCGTTTCATTTAAGTGCCCGACATGTTTTCTTTTTAAATGCTCATGCATCACCGAGGTGCTGCCGTGATACGCAAGGTCTGTTTTGCAAACCTTGCACGTAATTTTTTTACTCGTTGTATCAAGGATAAAATGCTCCCAAACTTTGGAAGTTTTTGTACGCGTGTTGGACGCCGCCATTTCTGTAACCGCGACGCTGTTGTGCAGGTGACTCTGGGCAGATTGTAATTAAGTGAGATCACTCTGTTGGAAAAACACGTCTGGCGACAATAGTCGACAATGGAATTCATTGTCGACTTTTTCTATTATCGATTTTTGTCGACAACGTCGACGAATCGTTGCAGCCCTACTCTTGTGCCACAGAAAAGCACGCGTTTGTGACATAGACTTGTCTCTAAACACACATTTCAGGTGCCTGTGATGGACGTCAGGTTGGTTCGTTGTTCATGGTTGGTTCTTCCGTGACAAAGTGGTTCAGTGTATGTTCACCATTTGTCCCTTATTATTATTTTGATACATTTATTTTTGTAATGGGCTATAATGCTTAGATTTAAACATTAATGCAACCTTGCTTCATTTACTATCCCGGGTTTGTTTGTGTTGATATTTGGTTGCAGTTTCCATCTATTTATATGTTTAGTTTAAAGCTACCACTTTTGAATTATTGGTTGAACTTGGTTTGTTTCAAAGTAGATTCTTGGTATTTGTGTTTCTTTTTACTTACCATTCTCCCTTGTAGCTTTGCAGCAGGTCAGGAGTGTGGGAGTGGCCGGCCCATTGCCTCCTGCTGAATGGCTGAATGATGGATCTACCAATTAGAGGGTTTTCTAGTATTGCTTTGTTTGTTTTTTCTTTAAAGTAACTTTTGAGTTATCTTGTTTGGCAGGGTTTATTTTGTACATTATTTCATTAGGTTGAGTTTGTAAATTAGATTAATATTATTCTTGTTTTTGTTTAGACTTTGTCTTTGTTTCGTTGTTACCTGTTTGATTGTGGCTTGGCCCAATTATGTGCAGCTGTGTTGCCAATTGGCTTTAAAAGGAAAAAACAGTGTTTGTGGAGGGGGGAGAGAGAGCAGATGGATGTCAGAGGAGGAAACTAAAATGAAATTCTTCTGAAAACGCTGGAACCTGGTGATTGATGCAGTTTGTTTCGCTCACTTTGAAGACCCTAGACCACACTATCTTACATCTTCAGTTCCATAAATAAATACATCCATATGTGTGTTTTGTCATAATTCTGGTGTCCATTTCCTCTTTTTCTCTGGGTGTGGTTGTTTTGTCTTGCCTGCCCTGCTCAGCATGCGGTATACTGTAGCTGTCACTGTCTAATGGGTGTGAGGCAAGGTTTTATTGAGGTGTTTAAATGTATGTGTTCTATTCATAGGCCTGCACATTTAGTTCACTGGATTTTTTATTAGCCCATTTCTCACTTGGGATTTTTGAGGATCTCTAATTGTTCTGTGACTGGTTTCCTACCATCATCTGTAGGAGTTCGGCCAAACTAAAGGTGATGGCCAGAGGGCTGTTTCATACAAGCAGGATCATGAAATTTAGGGAAAGAGATACATGGCTAAACTGTGTGCAACACACTTCTCATAATGAGCAACAACTTTTTTAAAGGAGGCTTGTGAGGGACCAGACTGAATCAAGGACAAAAGTGTTACAGAAATGAGAAAAATGTAATAATATAAAAAAATGTCATATTTCCATATAATACAACTAAGAATAACTCAACTGAATAACAACCAAACACAAACCAAACCACAAACCACCTCCAGACACAGAACCAAGGCTGCTTAAATACGGGTGGACTGCCCTAAACTTCCCACCTAAGGGAGGAATATAATAGAAGTAACACAAACACAAAACCTAACAAATAGATGCAAAATCATATTTAACTTAATACAGATATATCAAAATGACAAAATAACTTTGGCTCAATTGAACTTAACACTGCAAAAGCGCTACATGGGGCACTGCAAACATTAGCATTAAGAATATTATAAACATTTTCTAACCACTATTTTATAGTGGAAAATGTTCTAATCCTATCAATCAAGGATTTCCTCAAATTGACAACTTTTAAACTTAAAGAGGAACAGTGGAAGTCTATAGCCGAGTGTAACATGTGACTCAGACAGTGGATTAATTCATGTCACACTTTTTATCTATCTTTTTTTTGTTAACCATTAAATCAATATGCAGAACAGTAATTATCTGGTATAAATGTTGACTACAAAGTACTAATGACTTGCACTAATGACTTAGAAGGTCCCTGCTCACGTTTTTCATCCTCAGAATTATACATAACAAACCACGTGCGAATTGTCTGAGCACAAACATTCTTTTCTCATCTGAAAGCTCTTCTAAATATAAGTGCTGCATCATCGACAATGTCGTTCAAAAATGGGCCTTCCATTGTGAAGAAAGAAACATGCACCAGCAGCTAATCGTATGGCTGGACTTGATTGACAACACCTTTGCTTCTTTATCAGTCATCTCTCACATCCCTTTCACTTTCAATAGCCTATTAAAGGCCTCTCTGTCAAATTTAGAACAACAGCAGCATTCAGAACGGTAACAATGGCCACATGAATAATTACGTATCTTAATGACAACCATCACAATGTTAAAATCATAATAGTACTTGACTAAATGTCATAATGACTCAGTGGGGTTTTAATGCAGGCTCATTTTTTATTTTTGTTTTTTTTAATGCTGAAACTGACGGGTATGGAAATGGTATCACTGACAAGACACTGATGGGATGGAATGATGGCTGAACTGATAAAGCATCGGGAATAACTGAGCTCGGCTGTTAGCCTAGTCTTTAGCAGGCTAGCTGCTCAAGATAAGTCACCATGGTTACTTCTGCACCTGAGTTGGGGCTTAATTAAGTCAGGATAACTGGAAAATCCCATCATAATCCATTAACCTGGTTTTGTGAAACAGCCCTCCACAAATACTTGCTAATGAGGGGGGATTTTCGTCTTTGGTTAGATGATTTTTTTTCTATTCAGCTAAAGATATCTATTTTAAAGTCAAGAGTTGTTTGGTTCCTTCCTGTTTAGTAGAAAATGTAATGGCATCGTGTTGTTGTTGTGTAGTTAGTGGTTGTGTTATTATTTAGTTAGCCCTATGTAGTGTTAATGGTCTGGTCAACCAGTGTCTGTATACCCCTGTGTCATTTCTTTAAGGTCAGTTATGTTTCTTTGTACATATCACACTTTTACCTGAATTCAGCTTTGTTGCCCTGAGCTCAGTCATTTTGTAATTATGACATTTTTCTTTTGGGTTCAAATAAAAACTACTATTTTTCCAATAAATCCTGAGGCTCCTCCTGTTTTGCATCCCTGTCCTTCACAGCCCCCTGTTCATTATTTTTTATGATATCTGAATGATTAATCCCCACCTGGTAAGCGGTCAGTTAAGGACCCTGGAGCCCCATGACCACAACAGGAGCTCTCCCTTACATGTTGGCCTTTATTTTCTTTTTTTAAAGAATTTTTTCACACTGAACATTTCAATATAAATTTTAACAATGACTTTATTTTGTGGCTGTAACAAAACATGTATGCACACTCAACAAATTCTTAATATCTACTCAAAAACAGCATCTTCCAATTTCTGTGAATCCATATTCTTGAACCAAATCTTTTCTAAGAAGTTGTTGGTGTATGAATTGGTGCTGTAATTATGATTCTGAACATCCCACACTAGGAAGGAAACCAACGTTATTTACCTTGTTATGTCAATGTCTGTGTGGGTTGTTGTTTTAAAGGTTTAGAGTTAGTTTAAAAGAGATGTTTCGGTGATGATAGACATGTTTCAATGGTCGTGGTTTACCACAAAGAAATGCACACACTCACACTTAGAGCTAATATGGGATGCAGAGGGGATGTCCCCATTCATCTGTTTGTGTTATGGCTTCATGAAAGTCCCAGCATACTGGTGGGGGGAGTTACAGTCCAATTTGCATGAGTGACTCACATGAACACACTTGAATACACAAAAAAGTTTTATTGGTTGAAACTGCATTTTCCTGAAAGTTTCAAAAGCAGATCAAATCTCATAACCATCTGAAATAGCACTTTAAGGTTACTCACATAAAGTTTTGTAAAGCTGTTTAGGTTGCTGAGAAAAGAGTCCACTAGCTTCCCACGCAAACGGAGCGTGTTTGTTTTTTGATTGTCTGTCCGTGTCGAAGAGCAGCAAAAAGATTTGGCCCAATTATGTAGGTCTCTTTTGGCTCATAATGTCCAGACGCGTAGAGCTGATCGACGTGGTTCGTGTTGCTGTTGTATCTCACCAGAACTCGGTCTTTGTTGCTCTCCGGGTTGCTGCGGTTGTAATACTTCCTGACTTCGTACGGCAGGTCTTCGGCGTGGGGAGAGTGCAGGTTTCCAATCGTGTAGTATCCATATTGGCGCTTGTCCCTGATCACCGGAAGCAAAGGGCTGGGCCCTCGGTTCTTGAACGGGTGGAATCCGTATTGGCCCGGCCTTGGATCGCACAGAGCCAGCAGGTTGTTGTCCAGGCAGCTCTGGACGTACCACACCAGCAGCTTGAGGCCGTGGCGGGGGGGGGGCTGGCCGAAGCCGCTGCGCTGCAGTTGCTGCGTGGAGTCCAGCGTCTCCAAACCCGACGCCAGCACCAGGGACAACACCAGAGGGAAACTGACCAAGAGGCGCATCTCTGTGCTGTGTCTACCAAAAAAGACAAACAGATTGGGCTTAAAGATACACATGACATTATAGTTGCATGCTTCACCATCTCACCTCCCGGTTGAAATAAGAGAAATCTTCTAATAGTTGTGCCGTTAGCAAAAGCTGAAGTCTCCACAGGGGCTGCTGGCTCTGTTTTCTGATTCTCCGTCTCAGTGTGTGTGATCAGTTTCGCTCACCGACCTCTCTGAAAAAAGAGGAAGAGCTCTTTTTCACATTCCATTCTTCAGAGAAAAGGGAAGTGCTGCACAGTTGCACAATATAGTTACGTTTCTTTAGATTTTCTGCAGGTGTCCTGGCATGGTTTTTAGTTAGGGGGGGTCTAGAGAGCTCTGTAGAATCTGCTCAATAGCAGCGGTTGGGATTGTAGATGGCATGGGTGTGTGAGGTCTTAGCAGATAGTAGCTGCCTCTCTGGGGGTTACTGTTAAATATGGTGACACATGAGGATGGGACTGATTAGGGTAACCCCTGGATGCCCTGTCTTCTCTCATACACTACCATCTTTGGGATTTTTTAATCACATCAAATGTCAAACAAACCGACTATAAAATGATTTGATATGGAAATACTTGATGGTAAACAAACACACGATAGTGACTTTAAAAAAAAAAGAGCTATTGTACCACTAAAGATAGCATAAGGAGTTTTTCGGAGATTTATTTATCTGACAAATACAGGTTGGCAGGTTCCCCCTGTCGAATGAGCATAAATAACTCTGCTATTTTGAATTCTTGTGATAAAGGCAATTAAAGTTTTATTAGGAGATCAACAATACGATTCAAGGTGAGCCGAGGATAAACTATCTAAGGAAAGAGGGAAAATGATTTAAACAAAGCAAAAAACAAACAATCGCTTACTTGGTCAGACAAAACACAAAAAGACAAACAAAATGGTGGTCTTGGAGTTTATGGCACGGCAGCCCACCTCATGAACTCCAAGACATGAATATAAAGGTATATTTAAAAATGATTTGGGGCAAACAGTGTGGGTGATTGGGTGGAGGGGTGATGGAAAGTCACTGTCATCATCTCAGATTTTTTTATGGGAGATCCTTTCCCTGTGCAGCTAATTCTCTGTGAGCCCTGGGAATTTCCACCAATCGGAACTGGGCACCCTTCCACTGCAATTTGCATAAATTAGACAAAACACAGCAGTCACAACACCCCCCCGGCCTCTTCCCCTTTGGTAATACCATCATAATAATTCTTTAAGTCTGCTCTTTAGTTACTCTGCCTTCTATCTGTTCTTTAGGGGACATATATCAACATATCTTATTGGGAAAATCCTACATTCATTCATATTGTTCATATTGCTTACTCCTAGTAGGGAGCTGGCACTGGACAGGAGGAAATAACACCCTGGACAGGTCCCAACTCCATCACAGTTTTGAGAATTCTATCAATTCAATTCAATTTTACATGCATAATTCCAAATAATGACGGTTTAATATCTCAAAGAACTTCAACAGAGTTTGGTACATTTAATTCAAATCAAATTAGATGATTTTTACACTTCCCTTCTCTTGTACCTTGTGTGGATATTTGCATGTATTGATGTGTTTGTTGCTCAGATGATTTTCCACTGTTCACCAAACCACCAGGTCAGAGTCTTTACTAATTTAGACTGAAGGAACACATACCACTTTATTCAGTTTAAAAATGACACTTTTTACAGTCCAGTTTTACACGGATTGTCCTTTGGCCAGAGCAATGCCATCAAAATAGCCTCATGGTCTTTAATAAAAACGTGTTGGGAGATCACATCATTAGATTAGTAGCATTCTATATTGATGTTACTCTGTCCTGATATTTTTCTGAAAATGTGCATTATCTGGTGTTGTAAAGGGTGTTGGCAGAATAAACCCTGAACATTTCTTTTTTTTTCAAACTTTGTTTATTTGGTTTTTAACAAGATTTGCATAGCCATACATTTACAATGAGTTATAAAAACAAAACAAAAAACACAACAAAACGACCTCCAATCACTCCCAGGCAATAAGAAAAAGGACACATGCACACAAAAAAGTACAAAATAAACTCACTCTGAAAAGAGGATCAAAAGTTACAAAGTGCAAAATCAAAATCACTCTTACGAGGCATATAAGGGGTTCAAGGCGAAAGGCAATGATTACTATGACTTGGTTAAGCTTAGTATGACATAAGTCAAAGGACGAAACACACTGGCCCCTGACAAGGAGAGACGCAGACTATTTAAACACAAGATGAACACAATTGGTGATCAGGAAAGACAAGCAGACATGTGACACACAGGGGAGTGCAAGAGACCTGAAACAAGGGGATGTATCTTTCAAAATAAAACAGGAAATGACATGACAACCATGGAGACAGGACAAAACACCAAAATTCCCCCATATGTGAAAATTGCAATCGATAAAACAAATACACAGGGAATAAGAGACATAACACAAAAAAACTAGAAACTCAACAAAGTATAACTGCTATAAGCTTGCTAGGTATGAGAAATATATTGCGATGTGGTCAATGTAAGGAAGTGTTGGTGCTCTTTTTAAGGATTTGAAAGTTACCTAAGCAGTTTAAACTTTGACAACTTTTAAGCCCCAAAACCTTTGAACACAGGAATGTTTTGCTTTTCGGATGCAAATAACGAAATAATTTTCCATAAACTCGAATGCAGAGCCCATGAGCAGTCTTATTATGGAAGTCAGTCCTGTTGCACACAGTGTTGCTGCGCATGCGCACATGTGCGACTGTAGCTCGGGCCTGTATGATGAGGTATGCCCTAACTAGGTAATTTATGTATGAGGGCACCTTCTATGACCCGAGTCTCTTACCACAGATTGCTATGCCACATCTAATTTGTTGTGAGCTGCCGGCAGAGTCCCCTAAGAGGCTCCATTCCCTGGGCAAGAAAAACAGCACTCAAACACAAAGATTGCATCATTCAAACAAATAAAGCCATAATGAAGTGTGTTACAAGCAAAAGACGAGCGCAGTGGAAACAATAAGTGCCATTTGCTCCAGTAACCTCTTTCCATCTGTGCTGAGTATATGAAACTATAATGGAAAACTACAAATTTTATTTAAGATCCTTTTCTTGTTTCACAGCTTGATCTGTTTCTGATGGGATGAATACAGTTGTGGCATCAAAACCATAGTGGGGAGCATGGGTCATTGGTCATGCAAACATGTTTAAGAACTGTTTTCAAAAGGCAAAAAAAACAATGACACAAAGTTTTGAAGTAAATCAAAAAATGCTCTGAAATCCAAATGTTAAATAAGTCAAACAGCGAATAGAACATATAAATAATATCAACATATAGATGTTTCTCTATGTGATTTATTATTTGCATGAACCCTAACCCTAACCCTAACCCTACTCCAGAAGGGGCTATATCTAGCTTGGGGCTGAAGCAGCTCAAAGTTAGATTATTTCCACTGCAATGGTGAACAGAAGTCACATCTGTCTCCAGTAACCTGAGCATTTCTGATCTGAATGTGTTATGTATTTTTCAGATGTGTGTTTTCACGTTGGAGATTGATCCTGATTAGCTGGAGATGCTGTTAGATACATCCAAAGGAGTGTCTTTATTCTATAAATGATGTTTTCTACTGAGCATGGTGCATTACATGTACCAGCCAATGTCCATTTATTTTTCCACACATATTTAAAAATAGCTGTGTCCATCTTTGTCGTCACGGGCAGCCTTTGCCTCTTTCATTTTAGCACATGAACATTTAAACTGTCATAAAAAGCATCTAATACTTTTACTCGGGATAAGAGCAGATATATGAATTTGATGATTCCAGTTTGTGATGGTGAAAATATCAGTTCTTTGCCTCTAAATTGCAACTCTGCTTTATTCTTGGGCTCAAATCAACTGAACCGACTCCCATGTAAAAGCAAAGAAAAAGGTATTTTGAGCTGTAAGTGATAAATGGCTCCTCTGAACTGAAGTTATTGGAGCCCTTTCTGGCAGAAACACAATGTTCCGTGCATTCCACCTTCCCCTCTACAGTTGCAAGATAACATTTTATTAAATTCTGCAGTGCTTACTGTGCTGATTAAAAGGCACTCTCAGGCAAATCATTTTACATATGCTGCTACATTTCCCCCTCTCTCTCCAACTTACAATGCCTTTTTGACTGTGCTGCTGTACTTCTACCTTTCCTGGTTGGTCAGTCATATCTTTTTATTATTTCCCATCTGTCTTTTGCTCCTGTTTTGCCTGCTTTGCACATCTGCATGCAAGCGAAGGGGTACAGAGCCGATCTGAGTTGACTCAGAAATGCCTCCAAAGAGTTATATTATTATTGAGAACAACAGATTTATCGGAAAAAAAGTTAGTCCAGCCTTTCTGATCAAACCTATAAGTAAAATTGAAATAAAGAATACCAATAAATGACAAAAAATAAACCTAACTATAACCACATAACTAGGAGAAAGAACAAAATAACAAGATCCCAACCTCATGACAGTCCTGTTCATTGTACAACCTTTGAAGGATTTAGTTAGTTTGATTCTTTAGTTGGGAGCCTTGGGATAAACCAGAAAAAAATGTCAGTCCACTATTGTGTAATTTAATTAATTTAGTCAGGTCATAGTAAAGTAATGCAGCATTGGGCTCAGACTGACAGAGCTCCCTGAGAATCTCATTCAGTGAAAGCTTCGATTTGTGGGTGTGATGTACTGTTATCTTCTTGGGCTGGGCCTGCCCCATACGGTAGAAAGGCTGGACATAAAGCAGCCCTATTGACCAGTTACTTCTGATATGAAAGAGCCAGTTCCTTTCTCATGTCGATTCCATTGGAATTTGGTATGAATCGTGCAAATATAAGCCAATGCTATGTCAATTTGAAAATGTTCAAATGTGCAACTTTGAGAGGCCTTAAAGTGTCATAAAAGAGACAGATGTTCACACACCCTTCAGTTGGTGATGAGGGCCCAGAGCTTGTCTTATCCATCGGAGTTGTTATTCAAAAAGAAAGACACTCTGATTGCTACCCACAATGTGAGCCAATGACTGCTTAGAAGTTCATCACAAATCCTTAGTTATTTTCCATCTCCTAACGTATACTCAATCCTCCGCTTCAGCCACA